GGACACCTGGGTTCTCCCTAGCTCTGGGAGGGCAACGAGGCCTGGGGCTCTGGAGCAGGGGGCTGGGAACCCAGACACCTGGGTTCTCTACTAGCTGTGTGAGTAGAGTGGGGTCTGGGAGCCCCAGTGCCCGGGTTCTCTGCCAGCTCTGAGAAGCGGTGGGAGCCCAGACGCCTGGGTTCTTTTCCTGCTGTGGGAGGGGGTCTAGCAGCTAAGAGCTGGGGCTAATGGAAGCCTGGATGCCTGGGGTCTATCCCAGCTCTGGGATGGGGAGGGGAGGATTCAAAGGTTCAGTCACAGCTTACTCAGATCCATGTGTTCTCATGTAGAATCATGGTAAAATAAATGGGATGTTTCTTGTCTTAACTATGTTATCTGAACACCAGTGGGTATTTTTGACCTTAGCTAATCTAATTTTTTTCAGGATTCTTTGTTAAGTTCCCCCTTATGTTCCTTCCTTCTAGGCTCATGTCATAAAATAAGTGATGATTTCACACCAGATCAGGGATTTATTCATCTCCAACATATTGTCTGCCTGCCTGCCTACATTGTATCTGATCAGAAATTATTAGGTGTGCTGTTGAGAGGGATTGCTTTTAGAAGCTCTAGATGTTGGCCTTGATTAAAGCACATGTTGAATTTTATTGAGTAGTGTTCTTGGGTAGTGTCCTAGTTACTTAATTGAATAGATTTCCTCTAAAGAACTAGGGGAGAAATTGTGAACCTTGGGGTGTCACCTCACTTCTGTGACCTTGTTTACATTTTAAAGCTTTAGTTCTGCTCAAGTTCAATCTTAACCCCTTTGATTTTGACAGCCCCCCCCCCGCTTCTTTTTCTTTTGGGATTTTTCTCTGCCTTGTCTGAATTTTTTCTTTGTTACTCTAATTAAGATGTTTATCCTGTCTTGGTCATCTTGCCGTGGTTACAGCAACTCAAACATTTCACTTCATTTACTAACCACCTTCATCCACCAAGATGGCCGTCACGTAATTTTTTTCTCCTTTGTTCTGACACAGCTGCATTCCTTGAATCTTTTTTCACTTTTTCCATCTGTTACATTCAAATGCCAGGTTCTCATCTTTGGAACTCTTCACCTCTGCAGCCCCCCGGGATCCTCTGCATCTATCTTATCCTACCATCTCTTGCCCCTTCCACCCCTGCTGTGTCTTGGCTTCATTCTTTCTTTAAGCTTGGAACCTTTATGCTTATTTTCAGCATGCCAACCAGGATCTCTTCCTCCTTAAATGTCACTTACTTTACAAAACCTTTCTTCAGTGATCTTCCTCTCCTTGTGAGTTGTTTCCATGTATATTTTTTGGTTTAAGCTAAATTATAAGATTGTTGAGCAGGGACTTTGCCCTTATTTGTGTTTTGGGAAGGTCGTTCATCCTTTGCAAGCGAAGATGACCGCATCCAAGTGGGGGGGGGAGGAGAAAAGAGAAAGGAAGTGGGAAAGAAAAAGGGAGGGAGAAAAGAGAAAGGGAGAAAGAAGAGAGAGGAGGCGGGTGGAGGCTAGGTCATGTGGCACAGGTTATAAGCCCAGTCTTTGCCCTGAACAGTCTGTTGCAGCAGGTGCAGGAGAGCGCTGAGGACTGGGCGTGAGAGGTCCTTGTTTTCCTGGCCACATGCTTCCTTACTTCCTCTGCTATGTGTCGCTGCTCAAAGGCCAGTGCTCTGCTCTGGGCCAGTGACCTTCAAGATGGATGGTCATGAGTGATTTGCTCCCATGACTCCAGATCTATGCCAAAATTCTTTAGGGACATCTTTAGGGTATCCTTGTACCACTGCATGGCAAAAGCATACTCCATTTGACAGTTCACCATAGAAGAAATTCTTCCGCAGGCAAGTGTCAGGCATTCTTGAAAGGTGGCCTGCCCGTCTTAGCTGTGCCAATTTTAATGGGGTGTGGATACTGGGGAGAGCTGATCTAACTGAGCACCTCAGTGTCTAGAATCTTGTCCTGCCACTTGATCTTAAGTATCTTTCGCAGGCAGCATAGGTGGAAGTGGTTTAGTTTCTTGGCGTGATGCTGGTACGTGGTCCAGGTTTCACAGACATAAAGGAGGGTTGGGAGAATGATGGCTTTGTAAACCTTTAGTTTCATCGACATTCCAATGCCTCTGCAATCCCAAACCAACTTACAGAGTCTGCCAAAGACCACGCTGGCTTTTGCTAGCCTTGTGTTGACTTCATTTTGGAAAGGACCCTATGCATTTATGCTTCCCGTTTTCAATAGCATTGGTTAAAGTGTGTGAAAGTGTTTTGTGTAGGATTTAGTTTTGTCTGGAGGGGTTCAAAGCACTGAAGTGGAGCTGGAAAATGAATTATTCATTCAGCAGAATACCCACACCTCCCAGCACAGTGTTTTCTGATGCCAGGCTACCATCTGGTGTGCTGAAGGAAACAGTCTATTCAAAATGAATGTGGGGCTCTGATGCATTTGGCAGCCTCCTGTTTACAAAGAAGGCATATATGTAGACTTCAGGTTTAAAGCTGGGAGGGTACGAAAGAATATTAGGCACTAATGTTTCTTTGTCTTACCATTGTCCTGCATGAGTCCAGATAATGTCCAGGGTTTTTTTAAAAATCTGCTTTCAGCTTCGTTATGTCTAGAGAAAACTCTGTTCTGTGAAAAGGTCAGTGTAGGGCAGTTCTGGTATTTGACATCACCGTCAGCTTTTCAGCTTTGGATAGCGCAGGCAGCAGCAGGGCACAGAGGAGAAGGAAGTATTGGTGGGGTTTACCTTCTGCTAGTGAATGGGTTTCTTTCAAAGGAGGCTGGAAGTAGAGAGACTGCCCTGGCAGGCATGGCGCCTAGAGAAAAGCCACATCCTCATGAGCCATGTGTTTGCTTGTCCATAGGCCCCGTATGACATGGAAGACGATGATGGAACTGTCTCTCCCCTTCCTAGCAAACAGATGAAAATCACCACCACAAACAGCTTCCTGCACAGTGCGGTAAGGTTCCCACCACACCACATCATGCTCGTGTTGGGTGAATGTGTAGGCTGCAGCTTTACAAGGCTCATGTTCTTCTGAAGCAGTGGTACAACCTTTTTGGTTGACAGGCCAGATCTGGCTGGTGGTCCCAATCCAGCACAGGAGGTAGCAGCACGGACCTATCCAGCTGCACAGAAAGGGGCAGGGAGCATCCTGGCTCCAGTGTGCCCCCTCCTCCCCACAACATCTTCACTATGCAGCCCCTTCCCCTCCTCCTTACTGTCAGACCCTGCTCTCTCTGAGCACATGGAAGTGAGAAACAAATTTGAAAATGATGACCTTGAAATAAACATAGCTCTAGACATTTACATATAGTACTAATAGATTTAGTTAATCCAGAATTTGTATATTTTACCTTTTTTTAAACTGCTGCAAGTTTTAGCACAGGGGCTCCATAAACACTTTTAAGTAGTACTTTTACACTACTTATATATAGCACAAACTCTACGTCATATTAATCCAAAGACAAAAGGCTCATGATTTACCATAAAGTTTGTTGTGCTGGGCACCAGCAAAGTCTATAGCATTTCAAACAGTGGTGACCCTCACAGCTCAGCATTGCTTAGTATGTGTGTGTAGTCCAGATATATTCAACCCCACCCCAAAAAAAAGAAAAAAAATCCATGTGCTAATTAGCTCATCATGACTGGAACTGTGTGCTCTTGTAATGAGTCGTGGGATCCTCCAAAAATGTATATGCAGATAGACTGTAGAGCAGCCTGGTGTGGCTTTATCTCAGGAGGGCAGAGCCACACTGTTCATGTGCTACAGGCTGAGAGGGACCAACAGAGGGATTTCTGATTAACTATTTAGGGCCCTGCTTGGTGATGTTTCTAGACATTTAAGACTGATGAAGAAATAGGAATCATTGGAAATGGGAAAGAAAGGTGCAGCTCAGCTGTGGGAGTGAAGAGGAAATCAAAATGTATGCAATGTATTGGCTCACCATGACTTGGAAAAGAGTTGATGCTGAGGGGGACTCTGCTCAACAGACACTGTCATTTATCTTATTTAGGTGGGTTGCACTAACCTGTTGTTTACCTGGAGATACTGTGAGGTTAAGATCTTCCCATGGGAAATGAACATGGGAGGTTAACTATACATTACCTCTGTGAGTACTACCCCGTGCCAGAAAAGCGGTTATCCCCAGCAACTAGGAAAACCACCTTAGTGGTCATGGTATTTTCCCTGCCAGATATGGGAGACTGCTCCGTCGCTTGCTCCTACAGCCATGTGGCTGAGGGTGAGCAAAACTCAGGGGCATCCAAACCCCAAGCCTCCAGGCTTGGGCTTGCACATAGGATGCCTACCAAAGGATTTGGAAGTATCTGAAGCCCCAGGCTGGGGTGTAGGATACTTGCTGGTAGCTGGGCCACATATGATTCTTGCATGATTCACATGAATTTCAAATTGATTTGACTTACAATGTGAAAAACTTTCTTTAAAAAACAAACCAAAAAAACCCGACCTGGAGATACCGTGAGGTGGTATTCAGCCTATGTGGTTTTACTTACCTGGCAGTGGCAGACTGCATTTGTACTTTCCCCCTGGCTTACTCCTTTGGCCTTTTGGCTAGGAGCAAGTGTGACTAGGGGGCATCTGAACTGAGGGGTCTTGGAGGGAGGAGACTTGCCCAATAGTAGAGCCACATAGACTCAAACAATTGAGCTTGGCTCAGTCAGTCTGGAAGTATGAACTAATTTGGCCTTAAGCCAAAATAGAAAAAATGACAGGTTCCCATCAGTATTTATTTAATTTAGTTTCAAGGGCAAAATCAGTTCTGTTGGGCAAAACCCAATAGTCAAGTTCTGAATTTCAACTGAATAGAGCTCAATCATTCAGATCTATGTGGCTCTACCACTAAGCAAGTATCCTGTCTCCCAGACCCATCAGTCTTGGGATACTCCCTGACTCCACGATAGGCATCCTGTGTGCAAGCTCCAAGCTTGGAGGCATTGGGGTTCAGATGCCCTCTTGTCTCGCTTACTCCTAGCCAAAAGGCTGAGGAGTAAGCTGGGGGGCAGGGGGTGTTGTGTGAATGCAGTCCCCAATGGCCACACAATTTTTGTAGTCCCACATTTGGAAAATCTTGTATGTAGGGGTCAGCCTGCCTGAAGTGCAAGGGACAGGCCTCACTGTGGGAAACCACCTTTGTGATCATGGTATCACCCCTTCCAGATATGTTTCCACAATATCAGCCATGTACTTTATAGTCATGTTTAATGTTAGGTGCACTTAATCAGTGTAATAGTTGGTTTCCATTACTGAGCACGTGCTGCCTTTCAAAGATGGACTGTATTTGGTGAGCTTTCCTTATATGTGAATGTAAGATGAGGGTCTCTTTCCCCCCCACCCCCGATGAGGAATGGAAAGGTATTGGGAGAAGTGTATATGTGTCGGGACAGGATGGGGGATGTGGGTGAAGGCCGAGTGGCAACAACAAGGCAGCCTTCAGGATAAGCTTATCAGGAGACAGCTTGAGAAAACTGTGCGTGGTTCAGCAAACAACAGGATGAGTCGCTGTCAGACTGCCAAGAGTATGTTACAGGGCAGCTTGACCCGTACATGGCTTACTAGTATATAAAGGGGTCTGTGCCTTGCTCTCGCTGAGAATTAGGTTCCCCTTGCTTTTTCTCCCGTGGCCTCGCAAAATAAAGTGCTTCTGATAGCCAAACACTGATCCTGTCTGAATTTCTACTTCACCCCCCACCCCCATGCCGTTCATCTTGTAGTCAAATAAATATGGTATATAAATGATGAAACCCTGGAATGTGCACTTCCATCCCTGCCCTTTCCTTTCTGCCAACACTTCAACTTTTCTTCAGATCGCAAAGTCCCCTTTGGGCTCCCTATGGCTATACAAGCCTTTTGCAGCTGGAATAACTGCTTTCTCCTTGCTGACAAGAGTCCTGCATGTTGGTTCTTGGCTTACCTCCCTTTGTTTGGAGCAGTTCTTTGGACCTGTCTCATCACTGCCTTGAGCATGAAAGTAATGGAAACTTGCTGGTCCCCCTGATCCCAGACGTCAACAAAGAAGGAGCTTTCTTTTGTAGTGGCGAATTGCTGTTGGCTGCCTGTCAGTAGGTACCAGCCATCTGGGGTAGGAGAAGACAGATGGATGTGGCTGTTCCGGTGTGCACAGTCTGATGTAGTCAATCTCCCTTTTGTGTTTTAGAATAAGTATGAGACCAGTGTCACTGGTTCTGGGGGTGCCGATATCTGAATAAGTTTCAGGGAAAAAACTGAACTTCTAACCAGTTGTGGTCATTAAAGATCCTCAGCACTTCTCACAAGAGCTTGTGTTAGCTTCCATATACTGATATAGCTCCAAGCATCATTGTTTTGCTAGGTGAAAATTTCCCAAGCAGTTCCAAATAGAAAAGGTGCTCTTTACCTCTTGTCCTGTGATGCTATGGCAGCCTTTTCCTTCAGAAACACTAGCCTGCCTAAATACTAACCTGCCAACTTGTATGTGGTTACAGTCCAGTTATCTCTGCAGGCACTCAATAAGGTGCTATGAGATTTTCAGGCTTAAAGGGGTTCTAAACATGGAAGTTTTTCTTAACTCTGCTTTACTATTGCAGTGTGAAAGCAGAGGTACCTGTTAACATTGATTTTCTCTAGGGAAATCATTAGAGTATTTAGTATGTGTTGGTAACTCTGACTGGCTGTCAGTAGCATAACTAAAGTAGGGTGGCTGGAGCAGTAGTCCCAGATGTCAATTTAGGTGGAGGCAGAAAAATAACAGCTGCAGCCACAGCCACATGGCCATGCCAGTAGCACCAGCAGCTGGAAATTGCCATTGCCCCAGGTGCCCCCTTTTATGCCTCTAGTTGTTGCTGCTTGCAAAGGAGTTTTACTTGTGAAGGTATACGCTTTTCAGGGATGTTTTTATTCTCTCTTTCTGTAGGCTGGGCTGAGTGGCAATAAGTTCTCTCTGTCCAAGACTGTCCCGCTCACCAAAGTGGTTCAGAATGATACCTATACAGCACCCCCAGCCCCACCCTCTCCCATTCGGACAAAGGCCCTGACAAGCGTGTCCCGGACCTTAGTGACAAAAGAGGAACCACCAAAAGAGCCAGCACCTGTTGAGGTGAGTGTAAGGAAAGAGTACTCCCTTCTGGATGGGTTGGCTGGACAACTCCCCTCCATGGCCCCTTCCCACTCACCAGGATTTACTACTATGTTTCGAGCCAGTGGTGATTTACTAGAATCCACTGTCTATAAAAAAATTACTTGGACATGAGCAGTGACTCGCAAGTCCAGTATGATTGGAGCTTTAACTAGGCAACTCTTGCTGTTGCATGTTGGGCAAACTAGTTGCCATATTCACTGTTGGGGTAGAAGAATTACTTCAGAGACCAACTAGTATGGAAGAAGGGCTATTTCTGTAAAGATCTGTTGAGCTGAGATTTGGTGGACTTTGGTACTTAACCCAAAAACAAGTGTTTTTGTTTTGTTTTTTTCCCCGTCTTCCTCCTCCCCCCATTTGCTTTCCTTAGGATCCCAGTTACTACCATTTATTTGTTTTCTCTGTCACTTTTTCTTCCCTAATGTGTTTTTCTCTCTCCCTAATGTGAATGACTCATTTTACTTTTATATTGGCAGCCGGTGTTCAGCCCTCTGGAAGGCACAAAGATGACTGTGAACAATCTGCACCCCCGAGTAACAGAAGAAGACATTGTTGTAAGTGCCATTTATCTGTGTCTTTATAATTTCACACCCTACCCTTCTGTGTGGATTTGACTGCAATAGGCACATTTCATTTGTGGTTTGTGTGTTTGATTTCCTTTGAGCCTTGAGGATTCTGTAGTTAGCTTTTTCATCTTACTCTAAACAGAGACTTTTTTAGGGTCCATTAAGCTGATCAGCCGTCAGTTGGGGGATCTGATATCAAGTGGTACATGATGGTAGTATCTTCTTTGCCTTCTCCAATTTAAGTTCCATACCCAAAGCCTTCATAGCACTTTTGTACCCTGCTGACTGAAGAATGGCTGGGTCTTCTGTATAGTATTGTAGAGAGCTAACGAGCTTGCACCCCAGTACTAGCTGCCCTTGCTGTCTGCTACAGGCTGCCTACTAGCAGCTAGGTCATTGGGACTTTAAAAAAAATGTTATATGGAAAACATGGACAATGCATCTCTGCCAGTTAGGCTGAAACAAGATAAGGGGTTAACTCCAAATACTTCCTTTGTGGTGAAACTTGAGTGCAAAAGCCTGACTGCAATGGCTTTGAACTCTTAGCCCTGGGCAGTAGCCAATTACTGTTCTGACCTGCCAGCATAAGGTCCCTTTGCTGCTGAGATCTGAACTTGCTCATCAGCCAATTTGTTTAAGGCTGGGAAAGCAACAGGTTCTGGGCCTGATGGCTGATGTTGCCAGCCTGCCAGTGTTCGTTCAGGTCTCTGGTTTGAGACCTGACCCTGCTGCCGGCCTCTGGAACAGCTCCCAGCCAGACTGTTTGGAAGCTGAACCAGATAACCCTTGAGGTCCCTTTCAACCCTATGATTCCTTTAGCCTGTGTGTTAGTAAACTTACAATGCAGACTAGGCCACCAGACATCATAAAAACCTGTACCATAGTACATCGATCTAGAGAACCAGCCATTTTGCTCCCAGATCCTTGGACTATGGAATGAAATGGTGCTGCCAGAAAGTGCTGTAAGCCTGACTTAGAGATGGCACGATTTCCTGATCCAAATGGTAACTAATACAGCACTGGCAGCAGCTCTTATCTTTCCTCAGGAGTTGTTCTGTGTGTGTGGCGCTCTGAAGCGAGCCCGTCTGGTGCATCCTGGAGTGGCTGAGGTGGTCTTTGTAAAGAAGGAAGATGCCATTACAGCATATAAGAAATACAACAACAGGTGCTTAGATGGTAAGCCTGAGGCTAGGATTGGGATTGAAGGTGTGGGGGGTCTATGAATTCATCACAGGCTTTTCCACCTTGATGTAGGTTCCAAAAAGTGCTTCAGCTGCTTTTTGTGCTGTCTCTGTCAGGGAATGTTTTTGAGGGCTGTAAAACTGGCGCTAAGGCCATTTGTTCAGGTTTTTATATAATCAGTTATCTCTCTACTGTCCATCAGAGTTGCTTCTAGACTACTTTGCTAGAAAGGCATAGCGCAAAGATAGAGGCCAGTTTCCATTGAAGTTAATAGTATTGAATTCTGTTTATTAGATATAATCATGGGTACTTCTAAACCAGAATCCTGCCTCCTGTTGGGAGCCAGTGCTATGTACTCCAGGGGAAGGCATAACATGTTAGTGCACCTCGCTGTACAAGACAGAGGTCTAGGTACATCCAAAGCATTTATGAATCAGGCTTCTGTAAAAGTGAATATGAGTTTCTCTGAGTTGATAGTACAGCTTTTGACTAGTCAGGACAGATCTGTATATTATCACAGAGGAAAATTGCCATCACTTCTGATTATATACTTATCTTTTACTCTTGAGCATAAGGATTGACAGTTTTTGTAACCTTATATCTAGCAAGTGGAAACTAGCTGCATGTGTCCGAGGCAAAAGGTAGCTGAGTGACTTGATGCCAAATTGTGTAAGGTGCAATCTCAAATCTTGCAGATTGCTCAGCCATCCCAGAGCTGAACTTTTTATTCCAAATTGACCTTTTCCAGTAGCTCTACTGTGGTTTTACTGTAAAAGAAAGGACAAATGAACACTCTAATGGCTCTTCCAACATGTAAGGCTACTTTTGCTTATCCTTACCTGCAATCCAGCACAGTACTCCTGAAGCTTTGCCTTGCTGGAATTCTAAGATTTGGGATTTCTGTCTGTTTATAGGGCAGCCAATGAAATGCAACCTTCACATGAATGGAAATGTCATCACATCAGACCAGCCAATCTTGCTGTAAGTGTCCAAGTGTAGAAGAACCAAAAATTCTATGCAGGTTGTGTTTTTGGAGTGGGGAGAGGGTGGCTGGGCATGCGAGTCGGAGAAGGAAAACATTTCTGTGGTAAACTTCTCTCAAGCACAGAGGTAGTTAACTGTGTTAGTCTGAAGTCAGGTAGAATGTAGGGCGGGGGGGCACCTTGGGACTAACTGATTCAGAGAGGCATGAGCTTTCATAGGCAACAGCCTACTTTGTCAGACATCTTTGGAAGTCCTACACCACACTACCCTGCGCTGCCTTATTTACTCAAGAAAATCTTCAGTCTGTAGGCACACTTGCATACACCTCTTTAGCTGCACTTTTCCCTCCTGTAGCCGTCTTTCTACAACAGGAACTCCCTTGAGCTCATTGTTGCTAGCTTGCCTGGTCACAGGTTTGCTGCTGAGTGAATGCTTCCCCCACAGGTCCAAGTCACAGCTTGCTTCCATAGCACTCCTTGCTCCTGCTAACTCTGAATGCAGGACTTGAAATCTCTGGAGGCATTGCTTTAAGCCATGCAATCAATATCATGGAAGGGGAAAAAACCAGGAACAGTAAACTTAGATGCTGCCCTACTTCTGATGTAACTTGAAGTTAAATCTTGGCTGTCTTCTTCCTTCCCGCAGTCGATTAAGTGATACTCCCTCTGTGAAGAAGGAAGGAGAACCACGTCGGTCAAGTACAGCTGTCTCCTCAAATCCACCAGCTGAGGTGGACCCTGACACTATCTTGAAGGCGCTCTTCAAATCCTCAGGGGCCTCTGCCTCCGTGCAGCCTACAGAATTCAAAATCAAGCTCTGAGAAGTGGGCAGGAGAGTAGTGGACTGGAAAACTCGCTCAAGTCGGGGAATGGAGAGAATAGCGCAGGGACGCAGGCATTGCTGCGTTTACCTACCGCGCAGTTTTTTGTTTGTTTTCTATGATCGCTCCCTTCCTGTACAGTAGTGTTCCCTCTTGTGTGTATTTTCTGTTTTCATAGTTGGAATTCTCTTCCACCTTTTTCCATAAGAATAACTTCCCCCTTCTACCAATGATATATTACCATGCATAGACCATGTAACTCCCTCCTTTGCTCCAAGCCCCAGTGGCCAGCCTTTTAAAGTGCACCAGGAGACTGATTGGGGTGGGGGATGTAAACACTTCCTCTTCTCTGCTGATTTACCTTTGATGGAAAGGCAAAGCCACGTTGTTCTCACCTGAAGATAATGAGATTTCATTCTTAAAGCTGCTGCATTTGGGTCAAAGCCAGGTGCATTTCTGTGGAACAAGCGACACAATTTTTTTGTCTTGCATTCACCTGGTCATATGCTACTTCAGCTTAACTGTTGGATATTTTATGAAGCAGCAGCCATGATGCTGAGAAACTAACCCGCAGCAGCTCCCATGTGTGCAGACAAATTGATAGGAGACTTGGGGAGGCTGGAGAAGATGCATACTGGTGCAAATATTCATTTGTTGTGCTGGCACAGTTAAGCCTCTGCTAGTGTCCTAGTGAATTTTGGCATTTGATAGTGTGCCCAGGTGGAGAAAATAACTCTGGCATTTATAGGATTAAATATATCAGAACCTTTAGAGTACCTAAGGGTGAGTTGTCCTCCTTTTCCTGTTTCTGGACTGACTTCATGTATCCAGAACCAAAGGAAATCAAGTGTTTCCCTTTCCATTAAGCTATATCATGTGGTATTCTCTGGTGCCTGACATTCATTCTTTGAGGTGGAAAAGGAAGGGGGTGTTTCTATGTTCTCTGATCTGATTTTATGGAGTAGTAAGCTGGGAACGAAGTTGAACACTAACATGTAGGAAGTAATCCCCTTCCTCCTGCCCTTGAGGACTGTGAGTTTTCACAGGGCTCCTTTTGGGTTGGGTAATGCTTAGCTCTACACAGGCCTGTAGCTCACATACTTGGGCAGGAAGTATGGTGGATGCACTTCATGGCTTAAGAGGGATGGCCGCAGGAGGACAACCGGAGCTCCAGATGGAATACGGCAGAGAGGAAGCATAGACACCAGGAGGTCCCGTG